TGGTCCTTTATTTTCTTGCGGGTGTCACTCACTTATGTGCGATATTCTCGGCTTGTCAGCAAGACGATCGACATGCCGTTTTTATCACATTTTCTCGCGAAGTCGTAGTGTTGTCATCTTGCATATCCTTACGTTATATTAAGTATGCGTATTTGATCACAAAGAGGCACTTCAAGCATTCTTCATTTTATTACTCCATTCTTCACCTTTCGTGCCCTCACTTCACCGCTATCAACATAATGATGTTGGAGAGGCAGTCACGGACCTTTCGATTCGTCATTTTGGGGATTTCGACTATGTTATAAGATTTGCATTAGTCCCCTGTCCTTTTATATGCACGCTCCAACTGGTGCTTGCACATCTTCGCAGTCTGCTGGTGAGCATCTGGCATTTCGCATCAGTTTTGCAGTGTAAATGTTTATTTCATGATGTGTAGGATCCAGTAGCAGACATGTGTCTAAGATGAAGCGTTTGTTTAATAGCAGTTTTCATTGTCCATGCATAGCAAGAAGGATGCCATGAGTCACTCCAGCGGTGCTTACCCATCAGTTTCATTTGGCCTATGCATTTCGGGAAAGTCTGTTTCGAGAACTTAAACTCAATGCTCAATTCAAGAAAATCGCAATGCTTTGAAAATTTGAGAATTTACCAAAGATGAAAGCTTCGAATTTGTTTCAAGAGGAGGGGGCAGAGGGGTAATTTTGAAACTTACTTTGCGACTAGTGCCCGCCGGCCACTTCTGTATCCTGCATGTGACCATCGCCGAAGGACAGCCGGACGTGCTTGCTGTATTTTTTTATACGTTTTGCGCTGTGTAACAGCAGCACGAAACATGTGTTACACCTCCTGCCTGTGTGTATGTATGTGTGTATGCGTGTGTGTCTGAGTGCATTTTACCTCGCACTTTTTAACTAGTGAGCCACAAAATCTAGGAGGCTGAAATTTTAGTAGAATGTTTCACGCAACGTCCGACCCTGCAAGTTTAAATTCAACTTCCCCGAACGCGTGGGCACCACGTACGGCCTCGTGAAAGTTTTGGCGGGGAAAATTATTATCTCGGGAACCAGAAGAGTTGTGAGGCTGAAATTTCATGAGGATTTTTCTGCCTATGCAGAGACCTCACAAACGCAAACTTAGTTCCCAAGTACGTCGAGATCTTACTTACGACCACGTGAGCGTTTTGGTGCA